ACTTCCCTGTGTGTAAAATATGGTTTCACCAATGTCGGTGTATTTGAGTGTTAGCATGCAGAAGGGACAGCCGCCACTCTCCCGTGGTAGGGTAGCGTGTTTGACAACCGTATGCTGGAGAACGCGCGAGAGAGAAAGGAGACGCCCATACGGCGCTCATTGGGAGCGGCTACTACGAACGTCATTTCCGCGTTCACTTAGAACTTTTGCTGTTTTTTTGTTTGCCGCGCCAGCAGCCAAGGCGCCGCGGACTCGCCGGTAGCGCTGGTACTGAGAGCAGCTGTGTGTGTGTGGTGTGTTTTGTGAATCAGATTGCTTTTGGGTCGTTTCCGAACTACTGATACCATAAGTAAACAGTCTCGGGCAAATTGCGTAGACGGACAGCACATAAGACATATACGTTTGCCGCAGCGTCGCGAGCATCAGGGCCCACTTTTTCTCGTTGATCCCGCAGCATGTTCGTCAAGGCTCTTAAACGCATGTCAAGCTTTAATCCGGTCGGTTTACTGCGCTGTTAGTACGGCCGTACGTCACCGTTCTTGTTTTGAGCAAGTTCGAGGTTACCGATGGTCTTGCCTACCCGATCGATAGATATCGTTAGTAAGTGCGAGTTTAAACTATCAAGTGTCCATAATATGCCCCCAGTCGTTCTTTTTTTACCTGCAGCGAGAGCGGCACAAAAACGTCAAACAGCTGTCCAATCACTGAGTATGTCCTGTTTTAAAATAAACGGCCTAGTTACTTGAGATTGCAGTGTCGGTTCGCGATGCCTGCCGCAGTTTCGCGGACTTTGGGCAGCAGCCATTCTCCAAAACACTGCACGTGTATAATTTGCCGGTGACCGTGGCTAATAGTTGAAGCAAAATCAGGGAGATATGAGGTAGTTGCAGTGCAAAACAAAAAACCAGATTTGGCAACATGTGCGTGGCTCCCAACTGTATCACTGTGATGGTACTGAGCAGCTTACTACAATGACGAATAGAAAAAAAGATAGAGCACAGGCGGATGGTGCAAGAGGAAACTGAATGACGGTTAAAGGTGACTTTAGTTCTCAATAAATTTCTGCAAGAGTATGTTTGTTTATGCTAGATGTTTTATTTGTATTACCTCCAAGGCTTCAGGCCACCGCAGGAGGGAGTAGAAAATCCAAAATACACAAATAAAGTAAGCATTAGTAATTTCTAACTTTACTGTGTTACCTCTATGGTTGCGTGCTTCAGAAAAGATCAGGTGTTTCATTATAAGTAGACAAGTACTCATAGACAGAGAAAGTAAAGATCCTGTGAATAATGCCATCGGGTTCCTGCTGTTTCGGAAATTTTTTTTTATTTTTGTTGTCACCAACTCACTTTATTATTTCTACGCTTACACATTAAGCCTTCGCTGTGAGTCGCTCTTGCTGTCTTCATGTGGATGGCTTCAGACAGGCAACATGCATATTCACAATACGCTCCCAGAAGTTTTTCTGAACTATGGCACCTGCTAGCACGATTTTTTTTTGCAATATAGCTTTTCTATAACTGCTTTAATGAGCTTTACATGTAATGACTTGAACACGCTGCACTCAAGTGTAAACAGTGTTTTCAGAAACAGAACGAAGAAACTTCGCCTGCATTAGCAAACTGAACTGAGCTGGTAGGTATATGCATTACAAGATGTTGGATTTACACAAGTCGTACCGATCTGTTTAAAGCTCGCAAGTACAACCAAGCACTGGAGACGGTTCAAAACATGAATGGCAGCGTACGGCCGTTAGATGCGGCCGTTAGAATGGGGATTAAAACTGCGACTGAACGGGGTTAAAACTTAGGCGTGAGCTATACACGCGTGGGTAAAAACGAGCTCCCCACGTGACGAAACCGCATGGCCGCGGCCGTACGTCTTGTTCCAACGCGTAAATTTTGTCCGTCTACTACTCGTCGTAATGCCACGAGTCTGCAGATGCCGCCTATCCACGCAGTCAGCCCTGACACTTCTTACTTAATGGCTTCAGTAGTTCGGAAACAACCCCAAAGCAGTAGGATATTGACAGTGCAGCACCGCGATCACGCGCCCTCACCCCGCGAGCGCAGCGACGAGGTCGAGGACAGACGAGGGCGTAAGGCATTGCGAGGAAATGACGTTTGCAGTGGTGGTAGCCAATGAGCGCCGTAGCGTACGACATGGGCGTCTCCCTTCTCTTGCGCGCGTTCTCCAGCATATGGTTTTTAAACACGCAGTAGGGTAAGTTTTACTGTAAAGGGGCTGCCTTTGCTTTCCTCGAACACACAAAACTTGGCAAGCAACTTTCCCGTTGATAGCCTGAATTATGGCCGTTTTTCGCTAATCACAAAAAAAGAGTATTCGTGGTGCAAAAGTGTGCCGTTCTAGCGCCTCCTCTATTTTTGCAGTGTCTGGGCGAATGCTCTCCTCAGGCCGTCGAGTGCTCGCTGCACCTCTTCTCGCCGCTACTGCGAGGCAGCGCTGCGCGGATATTCTACGAAACAGCACCACGTAGTAGAAAGATCACGAATTCACGTTTTCATGCAAGTTTAAATGCATCTGTGCTTCTTACAGGCTTTCACACGTAGAAGGGAGATTAAGTCACATGAACGTAGCGGCGCGCGGTCTTCAACGAGCTCTCACAATGACGGCAATAAAAAGATGCTGAATTGTGTTTGATTGTACCACGTATGACTGTTTTTATATCAATAATTCAGGCTACATTCAATTAAAAGTAAATTCTAAGCAGCAAAGAACCTTGATACAGTATGTCAGCGCTTCTTTCCATGCCCACTGTACGTATTTCGTAGGCAGTCTGTCAGCTGTCATGCTGCTGGCTCTACACTTTTAGTGGGGTTAGACAATATGCGAGTTTATTTTCTATTTCAGGCAACTGCAACTTCATCATTTGCATGCCTCAGTATGTCACTCTGTTGTGTACCACTCTGCATATCTATAGGAAGAAAATCAGATTTTTTTTTTATTTCTTATGAGTAATGAATAAAGAACTCACAAGCTCTCTCACGTATTCACAATAGACCACTGATGGCGAAAACGACCTTCTTCATCCCATTGATTGATTTGTGGGGTTTAACGTCCCAAAACCACCATTTGATTATGAGAGACGCCGTAGTGGAGGGCTCCGGATATTTTGACCACCTGGGGTTCTTTAACGTGCACCCAAATCTGAGTACACGGGCCTACAACATTTCCGCCTCCATCGGAAATGCAGCGGCCGCAGCCGGGAATCGAACCCGCGACCTACTGGTCAGCAGCCGAGTACCTTAGCCACTAGACCACCGCGGCGGGGCATTCTTCATCCCATTCAATGCATTGAATGTTTCTTGCTTCCCTCCAAGTTAATGCTGTGCCTAACGTGGTTTTCTTACTGCTTCCAGGATCGCACTCAATGCTAGCTTTTTACTCATCAGCTAGTTATGCACTGCCTCAGTGATCAGCCAATTTTGACCATGCGAAGATGTAATAAGCTGACATCGCGTTATGTCACCGATCGACGCGTCGCAAAAGTTTATGAATTGTGACTTCCTATGATGACGTCTTCCCGTAATGGTGATTGCTTGCATCGCCCGTACTTACTTCGTCAGCGTGAGATGACGCAGGCAATCATTTTTCGCTTTATACGAGGCATCTGCTTTCGCCTAAATATGACTGTGACTGTCGTTCCGTGAAAAATACACAGACAAGCTCAAGGAAATAACAACAGGCTAAATTTAACACGCCTGTCACATTGGCTTGAGTTGAGAGTCAGCCCTACACCAACAGCGCCTGTTCAAAACATTGGCCATCTGCATCATACGCAGCTCTTTTTTAAATGTTTTTCGTACCACCACTTCTTTGCTTTAAGCTCAGAAATGATGAAATCGTACCACCTGGCATAGTTTCCCATTTTCTGCTAGTTGCTTTCTCTCTGTAGAAACGCATGTAACACTCGAAAGCTTTACAGAGGCAATCGGTGATAACTCATATCTTTGGAAGCAGTCAAGTAAGTGGCTGTGCTATTTAGTACACATACTCCACAGGATTGCGTATAATGTGCTACACCACTCGACAGTAGCAAGAATCAGTGAACATTAGCCACATAAGCTTTCAGTATTAGCTATACTGGCAAATGCTACTTTCAAAAATTGACTCTCAATCAGGTAAAAAACCAACTTTCAATCTAGGAAACATAACGGTGACAAAACAATTTTCCGGGGATCACTGGCATGCGCTCTTTGGTATCGGCCTACGAGGCGCACGCCTTCATTATGTAGCCACGAATGACACGCGCCCTTAAAATAGGCTGGGTGCTGATGATGACCAGTGGTTCACAATTCTCATTTACAACTTTTCATTATAGTTTAAAAATGCGAATAAAGCTGAAAACTGAACCGTATAGCAGCTTAATTCGAATGCAGCCCCGGCATTGGTTTGCGCGGGAGACGACGCGACGGTGTGTCTACTCCGAAGGTGGCGCCTGGCGGCCAACAGCCGCATTAGCCCCGTCGGTCGCTGCCCATTGAAATTCATTCTTTCACCTGGGCACCTGCGCTGTTAAGATGGCTAGTAAATGTGCATAAACAAACCTTCAAAGATGCTGTGATGCTAATCTGAAAATTTTATCGAAAGTTCTGTGGAGCTTCAGACTATGTGTGGCACAATGTAGCTACCAATGTCTTGCATGACATGCACTTCAAGGTGGCGAAGCAGCAGCGGCATACCAGTGGCATTTTCTCTTTATCTCAAGGGAGTTTCTTTTGAGGTTGCACATGCACCGCGTAGGTACCGCGAAGATGGTCGTTCACATGAACTTTGCTTTCTTTTGCGTTTGTTAAAAGCTTCACGAACGCTTCACTTCATATACAATTGAATGAATGTCTTGAAGTGTCTAAAACTTCAGAATATTATCAATGCACACATGGGCTTCTTCAGCACGCTTAGTGAGCGGTAGTGGACATGCACCACGGTACAGGGAGAAATGAAGTTGACAAGAAAGAAGAAGGAGACCTTGATTCGAGATGTCAGGTTACGTGTACGTGCTCGTTCTCAAGGCCATCAAAAGGGTTTGCTGCTGGCTTCCGGCCCTGTTTGCCATAACCACGATTACGGAAACGTACTATGCCTACCTGGTTGTCTTCTGCGGCCGATACGTCAAGGAAGACAACCTGCGCTTCGCCTTGGCCACTGTCTTCCACATGCTATTTCTGATGTGCCTATGGAGTTACGCGCAGACAACGTTCACGCCACCTTCATCCGTGCCTTACCGGTTTCGTTTCACCAACGTAGAACGTCAGGAAATGACTCGCTGCGTCCGAGACAAGGTCCGCACGAGCGCACTCCTCGAAACAATGGCCAGGGAGCGAAACGTACTCACTCGCTGCGTGGACGGCAGTGTGAGCTGCTGTGACAACTGCAAGCTTATCAAGCCCGACCGATGTCACCACTGTTCCGCCTGCAGAAGGTTAGGGAACTCTGCGTTATCTTTGACTGAAATATTGATTATGATAGCCCTTCAAGCTGGAAAAATATTACTAGCAGTTGTACCGTGTATGAATACAACCAAACAGCGAAGATTCCTCGAAATGGGACACAAACGACTATGAGCCCGATCCTGCTGCTGGCTTTCATCAAGGCGCTAGGGTGGGGAGCGGGTTGGGAGAGCGTCTGCTCTGCTCGGTAGTGGAAATGACTGAGTGAGTGTGCGGCGCGCACTGCACAGCGCACGCCATCAGCCCTCGCGCCTGCGCTGCCACTGCGCTTAGACACGTGCACTTATTGTTCTGCCCGGCACACTTGCCCGGCACAAAGAACTTCGATGGGGACGACCGCGACGGCAGGGTGCGAGCTGAAGGAGTTTGGCTCCTTTAACCCGACCCTAAAGTAATATGCGGGATCGGGAGAGCTGGTATTCCATGATTAAACTGCTTAGCGCCTAAACTGCGCACCACATGCACACACCTACTGTGTGTGCACAGTTTCAACTTTTTGCACTGAGCCATTTAATCACACTGTGCAACGAAAAAATAATGCAGGAGTAAGCGTTCCACTGAGGTGATCATACAGCCACCGCTCGTAGAAGAGGATGCAAAACTGGTGAAACAACGCTGTGCTATATCAATGAAACACAGTAGCCGCTTATATTGAGTGACATTGCTGTTATTTACTCTCTGGAGATAACAAAAAATCGAAGGGTGGATTATTCAGGCACACTGGGAGGACTTGTTCGTTACATTTAGCATAGTGTGCTTTGACACAAGCACAAATAAAGTAAAACAATCATAATATATTCACGAGGTGAATGATGGGGAGGTAGGCGAAGCTTCAGAGGTTATGGTTGATGCCTTAATCCTCCGACAAAATCCTCCGACAAAATCATCATGCAAACGCGTGAGGTAAAGTGAAGAAAGCTTTTATTGAGATTTCAAGCTACCTTTATATATTACGCACTTGTGGTCGGAGAAATGGTCAGCTGATGTTTCTAGTATCAGTTTAAGGGAAATGTTAGCAAACACGATGTCTATGCACGACCCCCACACGGTAGTAGATGCAAGGTGGTCTAGGGAGATCGGCCCTCTGCGCCCGCTACTTCACTTCGTCCATGCCCCATCAACAATCCGACACGTACAGCGACAATATAGAAACTGAGGGAGGCACTCGTTCCTCGCGCACTCAGGCTAAGCGCGAGCAGCAGCCAATCGGAGAGTAGCAGCACTTCGGAGAGTTGCGGCAGAGTAACGCCATCTAAAAAGTGAGACGAGAAATGGCAACTTATCATACCGTTTGGGAGATACTGCCGGTTACGCGTGACGCGTGACAAGGTTAGACTATTAGAAGCTTCGCCCCTAAAATTTCTTGATGCGGCAACATTCGCATGGTGATGAAATACCGGGGAAGCTGCATGCACACTTCTGCTGTGGATGCCTCTCCGCTCGTTCCTTCGGCGTCAGCCTCTGAACATGGTGACGTTGACTCACGGTGCCGTATTTCCCGCTTCCTGACGTTCCCGCTCCACTGTGTGTATACGCGTTCCTACTAGAAACATCTCTTGTTTTCCCAGCTTGATTGCACCTCGCTGTATCGTCTTTCACAGAGTTTCTCAGGACACCTCGATGCATAGATGGGTGGGCGGAAGCTTTTATCGTCCTCTTTAAACCGGATTGGTACTATCATAGTTAATATTTGCTATCACCATGATAATATCATTTACAACAGTAAGGGAAAGCTGTCACGCGCAAAAATTCGGCAGATCCCACGTACCTGGGAATCAACTTTATGCGAAGCACGCGGAAGGGTGGTGACCGTGTTGCAAGTTTTTTTAGTATCGCGTCATGAAATGACGCTAAATATATGTACGAATGTTGCGCACAAAGACATATGTTGAAGAGTTGCAGATGTTCATATGACCAGTTATCCACTTTCACAACGATGTCAGCTGAAAATATGTTTTAGCAGCACCAGAAGCTGATATGAAGCGCTGATACTCGCGAAAATGCTGGCCCTTGACACTGCTACCTAAATCGATTTCAGCACATGGCACGTCACCACAATGGACGGTAACCCGACGTGACGGCTCTATGAAAGAAGTACATACGTAATGTTTATAAAATTGGGTAGGCAGTACTGCGAGCATTATTGACGTTTCACGAAGATTAGCGTCTATTATATAAGAGTCACGACTTTGTAAACTCTGGCGAGGTATTACTTTGTTTTTTGTTATTTTGGTGTTTTCGAACAATACATGGCATAGTCTATGAGGAGTTGCTTACGGATGACAAAGGACGGAAGGCGCTTGCTCCCTCGCCTTAGCTTGGCTCTCCCCCTTTGGTTTGCTAAAGACGGTGGTGACCCCACCTTTCCCCCGTAGCACCAGTCCAATGGGCTCTGGCGCCTCTACCTGTATCTTATGAACACCTCATCTAGTACTGTATTAAACCGAAACGCCCTTCAGCAAACTGACTCATGAGTACGACATCACAGAAAAGTATTGAAAGCCTAGCACAAGGCCTCAAACACTTTGCTATCTTGATGCAGGTGTGTTCTGAAGATGGACCACCACTGTCCATGGTTCAATAACTGCGTTTGCTTCAGCACGTACAAGTTCTTCCTGCTCACCCTGTTCTACTGCGTGCTTCTGGCAGCCTACGTTATGGCCAGCGTGTCCATATACCTGCTGGACAAGTACCCTCGCCGCAGCTTGCTACATCGTCCGCGCCACATCAAGTTTCTCCTGGTGATGGGCGCCACACTGTTCGTCGTGCTGGCAATTTTCATCGGCATTCATGTGTCTCTCGTAGCTCGCAATGCTACCTCTTTAGAGGCCATGCGAGCGCCCACCTTCAAGCGGGCCGGTGACTCGTTCGACATCGGGCGCCGAGAAAACTTCATGCAGGTCAGTGGGATGATACACTTTCAAGCACACCATTTGGTGTAAGACCACGTTTGGTGGTTTAAGCGAGTGTATTTGAATCGAGTTCAAATAGATAGCGAAGTCATAGGCGCCGACTAAGATGAGACAAGGACGGTGAGTTATTTTAGGCACTCGCCGGTTTATCAGGATGGTTTTGCTTGCAAAATATCTTTTTGGCAGATATGTGGTATGCCATGAGCCGCACTTAAAAGCTCCAGCAGTACTCCTACAGATATTGAACGCTGCTAGAAATAGATGGCGTCTGCTGGTAATTCACCAAAGGTCGTTATCACTTCGAACCTTGATGCTGTACATGTCGAGCGCGCTTGACAAAGATGTAATGATGAAAAATTATTCCATTTGCCGCTAAACGGAACCAAGTGTAGATGCAAAGCAATGGGTGCTAACGCTTACACTGGTGGTGACGTTGAGTCTGGAACTTATCGTGGCGATGCTCAGGGGGAAACCTGAGGAGGCACAAAGCATGCAGTGATAGAGCGGTGTTTCCTACTCGACCATGACAATCTGTGCTAATCGGCAGTGAGAGACAGAAGACTCCGATTTGGCAGAGAGATCTTTTGTTCGCTTTTAGTTCATGCGCACGCTGCGAATTTTCATTCAACATTGTGCAGGAGAAGTCTCCAACCGGCACTACCTTTGAGGTAAAGATCCAGTTTTTATACTATACGGGGTGGCCAGTAAACGATTGTGCAGTGCGAGCAGTCGGTTGTTTCGATCAAGAAACTCGCTAGCAGATGCTGTCGGCGATGCGAGAGGGGGGTTCGTAGGAGAAGAAAGAGGGGGGACAGGACGCGCATGCGCAATGGTTTTGTAAAAGCCGCGGGCAGGAATGCCTAGAGGAGAGGGGGCAGCGAGCGTAGGAAGACATAGGTTAGCATACGCTCCATGCGTCGGCGTTGCGAAGCGAGATGCGGGATTGTAGGAAAGGAAAGAAGTTGCGCATGTGAAGTGGGAAGGCGGGCGCTGATGCGAACGCTGACTCCAACGCCATGGGACTTAGGTCTGCGCAAGAGATGCTTCGCATTAAAAAAAAAACGAATTTTCCACGCCTGATAAATATATGCCAAATTTACGTAGGTAGGTATCGTAGAGGCCATTCTTTTAAGCTCGCCTTGAACCACTTTCTCAGGTAACCGTGGAACGAATTTACTAAAAGAGCTTATTGCCTGACGAATTCAACGCCGCAAAAACTTTGAGAGTCCGTCCAGTAGGAGCGGAGATTGGTCGCATATGCTGCAATCGTATTCTCTGTTCTCTCGTCCCGACGAAAGTGCTAGAAGCTAAGCAGGGGGAAGGGGGTGGCATAGGCAAAGAACATACGTCACGCACGCCTTGTTACCTTGAGCACTTCTTTATTTTTTCTTCGAATGCGTGCCTTTTCAGTATGATCGTGGGCACAGACGTGGAGAAGTCGCGGTCTTCCACAGCGATCCCTGTAAGGACCGAACGCGGCATAATCAAATGAACCAACAGCTGATAGATGGCCTCCTATGAGTCATTTTTAAGCGTATTCCATCATTTGTCGTGAGAAAACAAATTTAAGCTGAGTTTTGTAAGTTATGGAGAATTGCAGGCGCGTGCAGCGCTATACCATTTGGCTCGTGTGTTCTCGGGAGCCTCTACTACCGATCGGCAGCGTTTTCTGGCCATGCTCAAAAAGTGTTGCAGACCCCTTTTCAGTTGAAGTTCTGGATTAAAATCATGCTATTCAATGGAAAGCGTATGGTTCAGTTCAGAAATAGACCTTGTTTGCTTGCAAATAATGTCAATGTGACGATTGCAGGAGTGCGATTGCGGGAGTGCGTTCGCTGAGCCGAACGCTCGCTTTCGGTGGGAGTTTCACGTGTGGCTTATTGGTTGCGGCTGGGACGTGCGTGACAACCTGCGGCTCGAGAATAACCACTGTGATGAGCGCATTGCACAACGCATTTACTAG